TATTGATGTGAAGCACTTCAGCTTGAAATCTATCTCCAAGTGAGTTTTATGCCATAGCTGATAACTATGCTGCTAAGCATACTTACATTCTGTCCTTCAAATTAGAAGACAGCATCCCATTAGGCAACCACCTAGAATGGTGGTTTTACTCTCAGTGGAAGAGATTACTGATACTTCTAGTGAATCTTGAGCAACAACAACTTTTTCTATATCAAGATACCATGAAGTTGTATAGCTCTCTCTATATCAAATACAATATATATAACATAGCAAAACACTCTCTCAGTAATACTGAGACTTGTACATCAGTCAATGTCAAGCCCTAACTTCTGGATTTGTAATCTTTAGCCACACAAATAGTGATTGACAACTACTAGCAATACGTTGCAACACCCTACAATACTCTACAATACTTGACGATCGCAAGCCAGAGTTTATCTGCGTTGATCTACCAGACACTAGTCTGACAATTGATACTATCTGAGAGCTCGAATTTGACTCATGATTAGTTAGAGTTCGGATCATTACGCGCTGTACAGTCGCAGCCGACATCGACGTTATTTGCGCAATTGTATTGCCTAGCCCAGTGTACGTTTTGAAACCCGATTTGAATTATACTTATATCGGTCAACTACGACTAGTTACATAAGAGTGAGGACGCTCAAGTACATAGCAAACGACAACAGCAGAAAACAGAACTTGAGCGGGTCGAGATAGTTCGCTAGACAGCGAGGGTATGTGGGTATCAACAACAGTCGCAGGGGTATACAGTGCACGGATGGACAATGAACCAGAAAGCTGTCTCACGAGATCGGGGGCGTCCGTTTGTCGTGACTCATTGCCCTCATATAATTGAAAGAGCCACTAATGCGAGGGATGACATATCTATCAGCGGGTGGGCAAAGCCGTTCCGCAAGGATCGGAGACGAGGGAGTGCCTTCTTTTCCCTCTCGCTCAACCACGACGTCAGAATAGTACGCGCCGTCGGTCGCAAGACTAGCGACTCGATGCCGTCCGGCCAGCAGTGGCGGAGACACCCGGACACTGGCGGTGTCATCGTCGTTATCTTCAAAGATGCTGCTGAAGCTGACCTCCAATGGGTCAGGGGGCGGGAATAAGCCGTCATTGTGGTAATGCGTCAAGCCATCTTCCGCGCGTTCACGTCCGCCCCCGACGTCTTCACCTCCGTAATGAATACGAGGATCACTTTGGTCATGCGACTCGGTGTTCTTGGACCACAGGTTTCCGCCACGTTGTCCCCTTGAATCATCGAACCCAGAGCCTTGCTCAACCTTGTGGTCTCTAGAAGGTATGAGCGAGGTCCTCGAGCTGTCATGCGCATATGGTGTACAATAACTGAACCGGCGCTTGACATAGTCGACCTCCTGCTCCACATCGTATTCAGAATCCACCGTTCCCTCCTCAGTGGCATCGGTGAAAGATAGATACAAATTGTCGTAGGGATATAAATTCCTGGCAGGTGAGTGTTTCGCAGAGACGGAGGGCGGATGGAATACAGACGACAGTGGGACCGGAATGGCCTGCGGTTCCTCGGAATTGTCCCTATATGAAAAATAATGTAGCCCGGACGCTGGATAACGTCCGCCCTTAAGAGCGGTCTCGGTTTTGATCTGCGGGATAATACTGCGCCCGGCCCCGTACTGTCTGTCATCTCCTTGCAGGGTGTCTTGGTCACCATGTCGACCTATCGACATGCTCTCGCCAATCCAGATGCCACGGGCGTCAATCGCATGTTCTGAGGGCTTCGTACGGTCATTTAATCTTGCTTCTTGGAGTTGGTCCACGCTCAGGTTGTCGTTTCTCACGACTAGATCACCCGATTGATTGGGGACAGTTGGTCGACACTCGTCTACGCGCCCATCCGGCGGGAGCATATACTTTCGGAACGGTGCGAGTTTCTGCGCGAGGTCCAGCTTGCGCCGCTTGTAAACCTCTCTCACCCGCGGCGACCCGCCTCCGGTAGCAGGGCCATCGCGCTGTTCATCATCCTCATCATCCCTGCGACGTTTCCGCAAATGTGACGACTGGCCCTCGAAGAACCCGTCCCGCTCGTCGTATGTTTCATCTTCGACTGGTTCTCTTATATCTCCCTCTGGCGAAACCGCGCTCTCGGCGTGCTTGTACACCCACCAAAACCACTCGCGGAAACGCGGCCCCGCAACGCTGGTCATGTCTTCGATGAAACTATCACTTGCATTCGACTCCTTGAGTAGTTCGCACCGTGCAAGTTGAACATCCATGGAGGCGCGCATAAAGAGCATCCGTGAATCTTCCATGTACTGAGTGACCATATGACGTTCGCGACGGAGCTGCACCATCATTTGTTCCAGCCATGTGGGATCGTCGGGGTCAAGCGGAAGCTGGACGGGATATGAATACTGGACTTCTCCATTGAATGGATATTTATCCAGGAGAAGAGCGTCTTGATCCGGAGCCTCGCATGATATTGCAGGCATGGTTTGTGAGAGGATCCCAGTGTCAGAAATTGGACGGTTCGAGGAGCGAGGGGACATTGGGACGTGGCGCACGGCAGGAGTGCATTGAGGAGCGACCGGTATGTTCTGTGAAAGCAAGGCCCTTTCATTGTGTCTTGTCCCATCTGCAGAACTGCCAGCAACAACTGAGGCCAGTATGAGTCAATTAATCGCAGGACTGATGATAGGTACTCACATTCAGATGGGGATGCGGCGCCCGGCTTGCGCGAGCTAAGCTTTTGCTCGTGAGTCTTCGGAGAAGGGCTGTTGAGCAGATCGGATATAGCCAATCGGGTTCTGATTGCCATCTTCGCTGGCGTAGCTGACTTGTTTGCAGAGTCGAGGAGTATATGGCGTCAGGTGTAATACTGGTAAGAGGTAAAGCTGAAGAAACATACGCCACAGCAGGAACAGGCTTTAGACTTGGGCCAAGATCCAACATCGCCACTTTACAGAGGCCTGATGCACTATTGGCCATCCGATGGTATTGTTCTCTTTATCCAGCGCTGATTTGAAGTCCGACAGTAGTCATCGACACGATCATTAGATTCCGATTCGATAAGCTGTTATGCGTTTTTCTTGACAATCGAAGGTTTAGAATGTAAGAAGAAACGCTCAAGAAAACAGAGGGACAGATGTTAGCACAATTACTATCCTTCAGAACCTCAGGCTCCGGATTACACTATAACGGCGTACGAATCGAGGTCAAGAAGGGCGATAAGCGACATGATAGCCATGAAGATCACCTGCTAGTAACCGAAGTCTACAGAGCGCTGAAAGCGAGAAACAAACAGAGAGCGAGGACTCAGGAAGGACACGAGCATGAAGAAGACAGTTTCAAATTGTATGCCAATACCATTGAACTTTGCGCCGGTCGAGGATGAGTGTGGGAAGCGGATCCAGGGACAGACTACCGTTGGCACCCATTGGTCGCGTGTGGGCGACCGCGGGGGTAGGAGAATGAGAGAGAGATCCAGCGTGCGTCTACTACGATACCTGGCGTTACTCAGTATCATAGGCTATCCCTTATTCACTTGTTCTGCAGGAATACCAGCCCATGCCATGCCACCCAGCAGAAAGCTGCGTTATCCCCGGATTGCAAACGCACAGCCCGCTACTCAGCTTCAAGCGGTCGTCATCGTACGATTGGACAGCGCAAAGAGGTCGACAGCCTAGGAGTTTCACTATACGAACATGGTTCATGCACATGGGTTGGTGAGGCGATGTCACAATCAGTGTTTGACCGCACAGGTCTTTGATCTAACGCAAATGGCGGGGCGGCGACTCTTCACATCGCGATATGCCAAGCTCGCTGCAGGAAGTGCAATTGCCGGACATACAGTGGGGCTTGTTTGTAATGGTCGGTCTCCAAAACGCAGACCAGCAGCACACGAGACTCGTCCTCTATTTCCCTGAACAGGTGCGTCGCTCCCGCGAGACACGATGCATGAGGATGAACACCCTCCGAGTCGCAGTCGAATGACTTTACTAAGTGGGTGCTAGAGACCCACAGAGAAGCCCGTGTGAATGCGATTTAATCAGCATAACCACAAGATAGGAGGAACGCATGATTAAGCGAACTGGTGAGTAGACGTTCAATGTTCAACGGCGATCCACAAACTCCACCCGTTCATGCGAGAGAGGCAGTCGTAAGGTGTTTGCGATCGCATGTTACAGTAAGGCTTGAAGTCCACCCGTCTATTACGTAGCTGTATCATAGTAGCAGTGGTGAAGTTTTGAAGGCGGAGGCGAGATCAAATTGGACCGGCACCTGCTGGCCTCCGAGTGCAGGCTCACGACTTTCGACCAGAGCGCAGAATAGGATCCGGAGTGGGGAGTGAGACGTAAACATCATGCATAGCGGACGGCAAGTGAGGTACGAATGGAGCAAGGCTTAACCCGCAGCAACGTAGTTCAAATACCACAAGTACAGTTTCGTCGTTATAGTAGTGTAATTGCGACTTGCTTAGCATGGTACCGGTACCGAGTGATTGAGTTTTTCTTGCAGACCCATAATCAAGAAGGTCCGGGGACGATATCACAGAATATCATCTACCCGCTCTTCGTCTGAAACTCACTGAGTCAGATGTTTCAACTATCGATTGGTAAGATTCTTACTTAGCTTCAGTGCCTACCGGTGGCTGACAATGCCCTATGTCTGCAACTCGGAATCCCTCGTAGATGATTGTAGTACCCGTTCGGCGAGTAACTTATGATTTCCCGGTTGCATGTTGATATGTTGTGTGCGTATGTTTTTGGGAAGGTACCACTAGCATCATGGCGCAAACGCAGTAAAATTTTCGGGTCATACCATTGAGCCTATACAAGACCTTCGGCTTCGGAGCGTTCAAATTGCTGCAAGCTTACATATGCTACTTGTATTTAATTCAATCACTGGCCCGAACACTTATACTCTGTCGAAGGCGGCAGTCTGGCAGCATGCTCTGAAGTGGATGTCTTTTGGCTCCTTTTATTGTCCTTGAGGGCCTAGCCCTATGTAAACAGTAAGGTACTGTATATATGCTATCACTATTTGTTCGGAATCGAAACAGAAACTTTAGACGTAGCCTGAGGTGCAGGACGCGCATCGGGGCATGGCTGTGGTACACTAGGAAGTCAAGAAGTTAGTGAGGGCATGTACAGGAAGTGAAATAGAGCATTATTGTACGCTACCAGCGCTGGTGCATCGAGCCTGCAGAATCGTGCCTCAGCCATTAGAGGCAAGAGACACGGATCTGGCCTGGACGTATCGCATAAGCGGCTTCGTCGCTCCTGGGTAGGACAGCAGAGTGCGAATCGAGTCTGCACCTCGGTCCAGGGGGCATCTGCTAATTCCGGCCTTCTGTATGCAGTGGAGGTGATACTGCAGGGGGACATGTTCAGTGCGGAGCTCGGTGAGTATACTCACCTGACGCCGAGGGACTGCTACTGCGAGGTGGCCGAATTTCAAGTTCTTAGACGGCATGTCTCAGACTTCTGGGTCGATTCGGTTGAGTTTCTCAACTTAGCTTGAGGTGAGGCCTTCCACTCTTCCGTGGTCCTCGCATGAGTAGATGACTTCCTGTACTTAGGAAATCTGGAACCGAAATTTCCCGATTGTGGCCCTCAGGATGGTAATAATCGGTGACCACCTTAGTAAGGGCAAGCTGGACTAGCCAAAACGGGTGCAAATGTGGCGCACAACGCTCGCGTCCATTTGGAACGGCGGTAACCCCTCTCCTTTGAAACTGTCGTGTTTGGAATGAAACCGCGCATTGCAGCTCCACCCAGATCAGTTTCCCCAAGCGAGGTTTGTTCAGCATTGGCAGGTCACGCCCGTGACTACCGTCTACGGTATGTGTGAGATGCCATGGCCATCGGTGGTTTCAACGACGTTTAGAGCTGAAAATCTGAAAGAAGAAAAAAAACTTCAGCTCCAAATTTCCCATGAGGAGGAGGAAGTCATCGTCCCTCTCAGCTTTCATGCGTGTGTCCTATCTGGATCGCCTTTTCCTTGCCGATGAGCACTCAATCACTTCCAACCGCGTACGGCTGGCTTTCCTTGACAATGTTGATCTCCGCTCGATATCATGCTCAGCGATAACATTCACAGTGTGATTTCCAGAGAAGTACTCTCTGTGAAACGAGTTTGATTGCGCCGGCTAGAACAGACCTCCGCAGGCCGAACATATAAATATCGACATCGATGGCTTCCTCAGCAGATCCTCCCTCAAATTCCTTGCCACTTTACCAGCTCGATCATGCCATCTGTCTTCTCCCACACCTTCAAGACTCCCGTCTTCAATGGTTCCGTCGAGTTCTCGACCGGTCTTTACATTGACGGCGAGTTCATAGACGGTTCTAACGGGACTACAATCGAGTCTGTATCAACCCTTTCATTTCCATGTATCCTCTCTGACCAGACCATACAGCGTAGTCAACCCTTCTGACGGCAAAT